TCACCAATATTGGAGGTATATCTGGCCAAAGATATAGAGCTCAAGTTTAGACTATGGCTCCCTTCCTTTGCAATAAAATAAGGAGGTGTCACATGTCTCACAGCTCCAATAAATTGCCGGCCAAAGGAAAACATGGAAGAAGGGGCCCTGGCAACTGCCATCCACTATGTATCGAGTGATGGCATACCACGTGGTAATTTATATCCATACAAATCTGCTTCTATTCTTACCCAAACAATGCATATGTCATATGTAAATAATGTTACATCATAAATACGTCCTCAAATATGTTATAAAAAATAAGATAGCAATAAAATTTCTATACCATTTAATAGCAACTCATAATAATTCCATAGCTATCAATATATTTAAATAGAAATTATAATTAATAGCAATAAATCTTAACAAAATCAAGTGAAGTATCAAAATATTTATTTGAAAAATCATAATATGATATAAAAAAATAGTAAATCCATGATATAATCATACACAATTCACATGTACATGAAAGAATTTTCAAAATTACCTGGTATTCTTTAGCTTATAAATATTCACACAAAGATTACTCTAAAATTCTCAAGAGTCTACAAAATTACACATAAATATTTATTAATAAAAACTCAAAACTACTCTAAAATTCTAAGACTACCCTCTAAACTAAAATTACATAAACATATTAACTCTCCCAGATTTGGTATTTATAATGGATATAATATTATTTTGACAATATAATTTACATATAAGACTATTTACATTTAATAACTTAAGTAAATATATTTTTTTATTACCCAAAAATCTAAATATTTCATATTAAAATCTAAATTATTTATTATAGTCTCATTTAAAATTTTTCTCAAACCATACAATTTTTGAAGCCTTCAAAAAATTTGATTTCAAATACATATCTTTAACCTATTTAATACTCAAACCGATTAAAATCTTAATAATATACTAAATAACTCAAATAAATTATTTAACTTAAATTTAATCGGTAAAAACATTCTATATGTCATTGAATAACAAATTTTTCAACTAAAATCTTAATTTAAAATTCTCAAAACAATCATTAAATAAATATAAACTGATTAAAATTTCTTAATAATGTATCTTTAAATTTCTACAGTCTTATATTGTTAAATCTCACTATTTACTCCATACTCAAATTGTAAATTCTTTAAACATTATAATAAAACTAATAATATGAAGCTCTAAATATATAGAAAATACTCAAAAAGAAAATTTGATAAAAAAATATATTTGTGTATCTAAATGATCCTTAAATCCTACCTTATTTTCTGGGCAGCACGTACTTTCACTTTCTCTTAATTTTCCTCTCTACCTCCTGCTCTCTCTTTCTCTTCTCCCGCTCTCTTATTCTTTTCCGTCTCCCCCTTCTTTTTTATTCTATTTTTCCTCATGTTCCAACCATCCTCCTTCCATTTTCTTCCTTCTTCATTTAACACTCCCCTGGAATTCTTTCTTCATCCATTTCTTCCTTTCTTTTTCTTCCTCCATTTAATACTCCTCCCCTTTTTCAACTTTCTTTACACTGCCACCCACGTTTCCACTGTTGATAAAAGGGGGTGGGTTTTTTTTTTTTTAAAAAAGATATTATTTTATTTATTCATATATATATTTTTTAAATTACAATTTTTTAAAAAAAAAATAGTATGTTACACAAGTTATCTTCAGGTGCATTAAGTAGTGTTCCCTTCGAACTTCCGATACATATAAAGAAAGTATTGATTTCAAATTCACGGGTTAATACAATTTTTAGTTCATCAAATTTGTTCTTATTTTAATTTTGATCTCTTAAATTTAAAATCATAAATTTTGGTCTCTTAAGTTTTTTTCTATCTAAAATATTGATTCTTATAATTTAATGAAAACATAAAGCATTTTGTTCCTTTCATGACCAAAACTTATAGTTTGAAACTCGATAGATTAAAATTAAAATTTGTACAAATTTGAGGAACTAAAAATTATATTAATTCTAAATTTGATCTTTGAGATTTCAAAGGGTTTTACACTAATATTATTAGTAATTTGCATGTGTAAAACCCTTTACTTTAAAAACGTTAGAACTCATCACAAAGTCACTACTATGGTAGAAAAGGAAAATATGTTAAATGAACTACCATAGTAGGAAGAAATTTGCATAATTTTGAATTCACATTTAAACCGTTGCATGCAACTGAAATAATTCATTTACATCTACTGGGCCTCCGAGCCTCCGGCCCGGGTAACAACAAACATCACATCAGCCCATCTAAATGATTCCCAACCAAATAATCCAGAGTTCATAAAACACTAGCAATGGCCTCCGGCCAACCAAAATAAGGAGATACATTCTCTCCAGTTTACAACAAGGCCGGGTAATCAAATATTTCAAAAAGCAGTCCTAAACGTGGCAATATATACTAGTCATACATATACAAATGCTAGAGGCCTAAAGCTAACCAAGCTCAAGCCTCTGCGTCTCTTCCCGATGGCCCACGCCCGGACCCTTCACCTGAAAACATTGTAAACCACGGGGTGAGACAAAGTCTCAGTAACCAACCTTTCCAATACTAGGTACTACTAAATAGGTGCCCGTGAGGTGTCAAGTGGGGCAGTTCACAAGTAATATAATAACAAGATAGCCACAATAAATCGTGCGAGTGAAATGATGCAAATCCCGTTAACCAAATCCCTCACTTTGGGGGATTTTTAGGAGCCGAAGCCGGCCTATCCCTCACTATGGGGGACGTAAGGAGCCATAAAAGGCCTATCCCTCACTCTGGGGGACGTAGGGAGCCAAAAGGCCTATCCCTCACTATGGGGGACGTACTAAGCCAACCATCATGCATTAATGGAGGCCTTACCACGTGGTAGTAATAGACAAAACTCTCACCAATTCCCAATTAATGCATCATGCTCAAATCGTAATCAAAGAGTAATAATCATTTCACAATTAACCTCATTCAGTGGCATATCTTTCACAATTCCAAAATTCATTCATCATTAGTCGAAACCCCACAAGACGGTTTTCCTTTTTATACACAACATACAGTTTGAACATAATTACTACTTAGAGCACAAAACATAAATCTACTCACAAAACCACAGAAGCAAGTACTAAGGATTGGAAAGTGGTTACCTCTCGTCTGAGCAAGGAACAACAAACCAACGATGTGGCCCCGTGCACCACCAAGACTCACAACCGATCTACACAAGCACACAAACACACAACCATCATATATTAGCTTTCAAACTAATAATGTGGTCAACACAACACTTGGGGACACAAAATTCTTATCTCCCATCAAGACTCTACCCAACTCAAAGGGTATATCTATCAAGGCAACACTCCAAAGTCATACCAATCCATTAACACCTTAATTCCTTTCCAAACATCAATTAAGATTCACAACCTCAAGGACCCACTATGGAATTCTACACCCAAACATCCCATTTGAGCAATTAAGGTTCCAACAACAAATCTAAACCGATTAAATATCCAATTTAACCCTCCTTAACATAACCCAATTCACAAAACCCAAAAATCAATCTTTACATTGTCATCCTCAATCCCAAATCATCCAATTCCATAAACCCTAGCTCCAAAAATTCAAGATTCTTTAAATCCAAGGAAACTACACCGATTAAATACTTAAACTAATCCAATGAAATCAATTAAACTCAAAACAATCGGTCAAAAACCTCAATTCCATCACAACTTAGAAAATCCTAGGGTTCCACCAAAAATCCTCAGAAATTCCAAGAAATTCCAAGAAAGAAAGAAGATTAGAGGTTAAAATCACTTACTTGAGGTAATGGATCCTTAGAAATGCCCCCTCCAAGCCAAAATACCGAAACCCTAGCAGAGCCTCTCTCTCTACCTCAGATTTTCTTATTTTTCGCACGCTGAACTGCTCCCGCGAATATATAGATTCGCGACCTTTCGCCGCGACGAACTAATCCCGAGAGGGATTACTCGCCTGAAAACCTGACTTCGCCGCGGCGAACCCCAATCTTCGCCGCGGCGAAAGCTTCCCGAGAGGAAACTCTCGTTCGCCCAGAAAACATTCGTCGCGGCATACCCCTACCTTCGCCGCGGCGAAACCTTCCCGAGAAGACACTCCCCTCTGAAACTCCTGGTGTGCCGCAGCGAACATACCCTGAGAGGGGTACGTTCACCTATTCCTTTAACAAACCTCAAATCCAACCCAAACGCCAAGATCAAGGTTAAATCACTAATCTATCCTCAAAATCAACCCAAAAGAGGCTATTAAAACCCGATAAAACTCAGGATGTTATAGCATGCACCTAGAATGAAGCTAAAATAATGTGATTAATTAGAAAAGACAAAGCCAATGGATGAATACAGGATGTAGTTTGTTGGATGAGTCTTTGGGCGCACACGAGCTGTGGGATCATATTATTGTCTCTTTCACTTAATAAAAGAGCTTGCTTAACATTCAATTTGGTTCAAATATAAAATTTTAATCTACTTTATCTCACATATTTATCTTTTTTTCCCTCAAGATAGCTTTTGTAATAGTTGTACATGTTAAAAATTTCATCAAATAATAATTCTAGCTAATACACATGATTCGTAAAAATATTTTAAAAAAGACAACATATATTTATTATAAATAACTAATCTAACTAATTTTCTTAATCTATTCAAATTAATCAATTAGTTTTTTTGTTGTTAAGAACCCGAGGTAGTATTACTTTTTGCTGCAGAAACGTTGACTTTTGAGGGTGAAATTAAAAAGCCATAAGCGTGGACGCAGAATGTTGACTGTTGGGAATGAAATCAATTAGAATGTTGACTTTGTTGAAATGTACATTCAATGCATCGTCATCTGTGGTTATAAGTCAAATTGCATTGTCTAACATTACTATTGTCTCGGTTAATGATCACCCTTTGTATTGAAACTCACCCCCAAATTCACATTAAATTTTTTCTCCCAAATTAATATATTTACTTTTATTATTCTTTAATTTTATTCAAATATATGTAGTTTAGTACCTCATCCTAGGAGAGGTGATATCAGGGCACAACTACGGTAAAACCCACTAGAGCGTCTTCCACCAGGCTAATCCAAGAGCATGGCCTCAGTACCATCTTCTCTAATCTCTGACCTTTCAAGCCTTTGTCGCTTATTTTTAATATCTCAAGTGCAAAGATAACAAAGAATGTAGAAGAGAAGATGGAGCTTATTGGACAACCAACCAAATTTTTAGCAGCCAGATTGTGAGGGAACCAACTTCAGCCTGACCACCGTAGTTGAAGATGGATTAATGCTAAGTTGGGATTTAGAAGCTGGAAAAGGTGATTCAGTTTGAATGGAGGGGTTTCCAGATCCCTGAATTAAATAATCAAAGTCAGAACCCGGAGTAGTTTGTAATAGAGTTGCACCATTTGTAACAGAGCCAAGCATCAAAGTCTTGTCCAGATGAAAAATTGGTAGGACACGCTCCTTATGAGTTCGAAATAGAAGCAGAGTTAAGTAATGGAACAAAAAATCTTCACTTTGAACATTTCATTAGTTATTGGAGAAAGTGCAGATGGAAGAGATTGTGAGGAAACTAAGTTGATATAGGCGGTAGGTTCTTGAAAAGACTAGCAAAGGCAGGCATAGAACCAGAAACAAACACTCAACTTATTTGAATGCAAATTTTCTAGGATGGATCCTTGAATAACGTTTGTATTTAATTGGCGAGGGCCCGGAAATAGCACTATATATCAGCTGAAGAGGTTTTGAATAAATAGTAGTATATTGGAAAATGGGAGATTATGTGATTTACTAAGAGAAGAAGGTCTGCAAAAAGAAGACTGAATTTTATTACTAATTAGAAATCAAAATGTTACCAACAAGTTGTTAGTTGAAGTGGTAAGTGGTCTCACCTCATCCTAACCCTCTTAAGGAGAAAAACACAAGTTCAAATCTTGATATTCGCACTTGTTAGAAAAGGCAAAAACTCTTTGCACTCTAAGTCTCGAAAAAGAAAACCCTTGATCAAAATAAAAAAAATAAAAAAGAAATCGGAATGTTAATAGCCATATGATGCACTTTTGACAGTGTTAAAGGAGGGATGGCCTCATCTATTAAGCAAGAAAATGGAAGACAAATCCGCAGAGTGTAACTGAGTTGAATTTACATTTATTTGATAAGAAAATGATAGGTACCTTGTTTTGTTGGCCGGAACAAATAATTGGAGCCTTGAGCGTTGAAGCAGGAACTGGATTCGTTGAGATGATTGCTAAAAAATCAAAAGGCATATATATAATCCTTCACTGAGCCTCCCTTAGGTAAGAGTTCTATATGCCTCCCTGTTTCACATGTCAAAGACTGGGTGAAACCTATGATATAGTAACGTGAGAAATTCTCAGCAAGTTCATTCTGGTGTTTGAAGTCTAAACGTACAGGACAAGGGAAGAGTCATTTTGAGGAAAACGGGTTTGCAATGAATGTCAATTGAATTAATGTGCAAGGAAACATCAAAAATGTCGGGCCAAGTATCAATATGCTTGCTCTGTCTTTCAGAAGTAGATCCATCTCGCATTGGATTTGCACCTCCCAAACTGATTGACCTGTTGATGAGATTGTAGGAACTTGGATTTATGGTCCAATCTGTAATAGCAAGGTCAAATAATGTGGCCAAGTTCATCTGATCTACAGCCTCTGAATGCTTTTGAAACCTTGATTCTTGAGCTAATAACAGTAAATATCTGTAACTAGGCAGCAAATAATCTTAATGATACTGAATTGATAAAAGGGTCACAATCTTCATTTTGATCTTCAAAAGATAGTCATCCATAGAAAGACTAGCCTACTCTGTATCTCTGAGAAATATATTGTTTTCTGAAAATTGTGAAAGCAATTTATTGAGCTGGCCTTTGATGGCAACTGTGATATGCAATTTCCTATTACTAACAGATTAACTAAATCTGGTTAAATCATCTTATAGTTTTTAGACTTATTCAAACAGTAGAGTGATTGACCATATATATATATATATATATATATATATATGAAACTCGTCATCATCATCATCGTTGTTCATGTCAATGAATAGAATACACTTCCTCAGGTCTCTCTCCAAATTAGTCCACTCCATGAGATGGCAAGTGGTTCTGAGTTACGTCAAGCCGGGGTTGCTCACAAGTGACGACGATCTCATCATCGGGTCTGTACTCTTTAAAGCCCGCCAACCTCCCAAGTTCTTCAACTTCCTCTATCACAAGATCCAATTTTGCGACGGTCTCCACAAGCAACGAAGCAAAAGCAGCGAAAGGAAGAGCCTCAGAGAACTCGAGGCTAGTAATGGCGATTTTACTCAACTGGGGCCTCAAAGTCTTTCGCTCTGATGCTTCCTTGGATTGCTCAGCGCTAGCCCTCTTGTTCTTCCATTCAAGCAAGGCAGAAGAATCGGTTTTAACACTTGATAATGTCACTCCTGATGAGTTCTTCTTCGCGGGCTTTTTCTGCGATGCTGCTGCTGCGGCGGCGGCGGCGAGCATGTTGGTGGTCCTGCTGTCGTCGGAGCCTAGGAAGAGCCGAGGCTGGGACTTTATGGCGGTGTTGAGGTCTTGTAAGGCTTCATGAAGATGATCGGAGAGTATTTCCGGCGAGCAGTGGCGGCGGTTCCCGATGCTGTTGGCAAGTTCTATTAGTACTTTTGATACCTCTGCCGCCACCCTTATGCAGGGATCCTTGAACATGGCTCGAACAGATGGTGGAGTCTGAAAAACACAAATTGAAATCGAAACTTTTCAATGAAAACTAACTTTGCAGTGAATTTTTCCAAGACTAAAAAAAACTAACTTTCTGGTTCATGCGTGATTACTTAAATGCAATACCTGAATTTCTGTTCTGAGACAGCCATGGAGGGCTACCACAGTGTACCCAAATTGGCGAAGAACGGCTCCTACTTTCACATACTGCTGCCATGGAAATCTGTGACAGTACCTTGAATGCCTCGGCTCCCAACTTGCATGCAATGCCTGCTCAACTCAACAGAAACGAGGATTTAGAATGATCTCGAGATGGGGTTTCTATTCTCTAAACAAGTGATGGATTTGTGTTAAAATTACCAGTGTTTCATCAGTGGATTTGGAATCCAAAACAGCCTTATAACCATTGTAAATAGGATCCTCGGATGAAGATTTAATGTCCTCATGATTTTCATGAATCACACCGTCTTTGAAGTACTCATTAACGCAAGCTGCAAGATTTGGATAAATTCATATGATGAATCTGGGACATGGAAGAAAAAGGAAAGGAGAAGGTAGGTAGGTAGGTAGGTAGGGTACCTTGAATGGAATCGGCGAGGCCCTGGAGCTTGAAGACGGTGGACTTATGGAGGTCTTCGCCGGACCAGTTGGGGAAGATGAGGAGACTCATGAGAAGGCAAATGGCACAACCGATGGCGATGGTGTAGAAACGATCATGGGCAATCTTGATGACATTGTCCACACGATAGCTTGACACGGTGATCAAATTGAAGGTCAACAGGAATATGACTACGCCATAGTCATAGTTCTTCTTGATGGAAGGAATGAACCTCATGTATGTTGCCGCAGCTCCTGTTGATGAGAAGGTTGATGGAAATTAAAAACCATTTAATTTCAAATGAATATAAACTATAATTCTGTTTCCAGGGTTGCATGCGAAATAGCAAGTTATGTTAATAATATACAAATGTAAATAAATATTACTTTTTAATCTTAAATATAAAACTAGTTGACTAATTTGAGGAGATTAAAAAATAAGTTAAATTAGTTATTTAATAAATATATATTATCTTTCCTAAAATATTCTTGCTAATCAAAAGTTTTAGCTAGAATTACTATTATTAGAAGGACTACCTTGGAAAAAAAAAGTATAAATATGAGAGACACAGTGGATTGTAATCTTATGTTTAAGATCAAAATAAAAGTCAAATAAGATCTTATATTAAAGACCGGAAGTAGTAAGTAAAAGCATTATTCATAAACCAAATACAGCTTCTTTCACAATTATATAGTTACTGCTCATTTTAAATTATAATTATTTAATTCACAGATGTTGAGAAATTAGTTTATCTCTAAAAATTTAAGAGGTGTGAGCATTTCAAGAAAAAAATTTTAATTACTTCTAAAACTTTGTAAAATGCTTTTTATATAGGGACATCAAATCCTTCAAAATCGTGTCTTATAATCAGGATAGATGTAGTATACAAAAATTAGGTACTTCTTTCTTTCGTTTTTTTTTTTTTAAACTTGTACTTTTCTAGTATAGGTAGTTGACCATTGATTTTCTTTACTCTGGAACTTGATATGCAATTAATCCAATTGATTAAGGTAATATAATAAGTAAATTATAATATTTTAAAAAATTTATTAAAATTACATAAAAACTATTTCTATCTTTAAAATTGATAAAAAAAAAAAGATATTTAAATTCAATTAAAATCATACACATCTACCCTATATTTAAATTTGACTTATCTTATATGAAAATATTTTCAAAATCACCTTTTATAATCTGGCTAAGAAGTTTGTGTAAATTTCAAAAATAAAATAAAAGTCGGGTGTAATTTACTATTGGTAAAGATTCAAACAGAGGCAGGTGTAATTTTCTTTTTGTAATTCACGGAAAAGATTTATGCATATTCTAAGAAAGAAAGACAAAATTTATACAATTTCAACAAATTCTAGAGAAAGTAGTCCCTGCCATTCGGGCCAACAAAATCTGATAAATCAAAACAAAGAGGAGAGTCACTAGTTAGCATGAACATTTGAACTCAGAAAGCTATCAGTTTTCAGAGAATCTCTTACTGCCTCCTGATCATCACCATTAGAACTCTTAAACTTTTAAGCATGATATATATATATATATATGTATGTATGTATGTATGTATGTATACGTATATGTATATTACCTATAAAGAAAACTGCAGCGCCAATGAAAACAGCTTGAAAGATCCGACCAGAGGCTTCTGCAATATACTCTAAAAGAAATGCTAATAATCCAGCCAACAGTGTCCCCAACCCTCTGTTCAGCCCCTTGCATAATGTTGCCCCTGCAAACCCAATCTTAATTCCCATCAACTTTTGTCTTATCAATGAAGAAGCTAGGATTCAGTAGAAAACCTGACATATTATAAAGTCTACGTAAATTTTGATCATGCAGAACTAATAAAAAAGAAATTTGAGAAGTTGCAGAAGAAACAAAGAACAGAAAGTGACCTGCAGTGAATTCAAGCACAACAACGACGGTCATGACGGCCCAGATGGCGTTCTGGCCAATCCCTCTGAAGAGTGGTTCAAGAAGATAGAGCAAAGAGACGAGAGTTAGAGACAGACCCACTTTAAGTGCATGGACCACTCTTCTGGGATCTTCACGTCCAACTTTCCACGTAGTTTTCCAGGCCATGCTTGGAAACCTCTTCGCCTTCTCACCAATTCTGTTCATCTTCTTCTTCATTTTCTCGCCCATTGCCATTTCCAATCCTGCATTAACTAACTTTGCCACCATTTTTCCTCTTCCTCTGCTTCACACCCTGCAAAACTTAATGGCAACAGTAATATTATTTTCTTCTTCTGGGGAGTCTAGATGCGTCAAGAATCCCAAGCTTCTCCAACATGCATGTGTGAACTTTATATTGGCGTGTTAGAAAGAGAGGGTGATGTCATTCTTGCACTCACATGCAATCCATTAAAGTACACACCACTTTAAGGTGAGAAAGTTCTCTCTCAAGTCTCGGAAGTCAACTTATAGCAGAAATCTAACCACAACATGCTGATTTTTTTTTTTACAATACAGGTTTGATAAGAGTGGTCAGAAACTTACTGTAATCTGCTGGTAAATCGTGGGGTGGCTAAATAAATGGCTGGAATTTTGTTACAGAACTTGTCATGAGCATATTTATAATTCTGTGATCACCTTCGGTATAAGGAGAACAATAATGACCTTTATAACATATATGACGGTGAACATCACGGGTTATGTACACAGAGGTACGATGGTGATACAGTTCAACAAATAGATCACTTAAGTAGTCTCCAACTTTTTTGGGAGTCTCGTTGGATTGAAATTAAAATACACTTGCTTTTCTAACTTAGTGGAGATCAATCAGATCTTGAGGTTCACGGGAAATGAAATGAAAAATGGACCATACGAGCAATTAATGGACATTGCCAACCAAAGGAACCGTGTGACTGTTGTTCTTGTTAACTTTACGAATCAGAGATTCAGAGTCGTCGTCTTTTGATTAGTTTTGTTGTTACACCTTTTTTTTTTGTGAAATTATTTTTGTTGTTATTAACAGTACTTGTTCTCACAACAGCCGGGTTGATATTTTTGTATACAAGAACGGTTCTCTCGTGCTTTCTGAACTCCTCCAACTAAATTTATCGGTCTTCTATTTGGCCACGTGGCACTATTTTTCAGCTG